CCCCCCCCCCCCCCCCGCTCCCCCGCCAGCCCCGAGCCAGGAGCAGGACAAGGGCTGGTTGGTTGCACACAGCTGAGCCTGAGTTCTGTCTTTGCTCTGCTACCCAGAAAACGTCTCTGCCCTGCTGTGCCGATGCTGGGAGCCAGCTGAGGTCACTCAATCAGGGTGAACTGCAAACAGACCGGGGCAGACAAACCCCAACCGCTGGTGGATCTTCCAATACTTAGATTTACCAACCAGCCCAAAACAGCTTCTATAGAACCACACTGGTTGCTTAGAAGTCCAAACAATGCAGTTCCCTTAAAGTGCCCGGCCTCAGGCCTCCGTCCAGACACACCTGTCAAACATAGGATGATAAATTCTGAAAATCTTACCTCGTCATATAAAAGAAAAGGTTCTCCTGATCCCAAAGGACCAAGCCCCAGACCCAGGTCCAATGATAACTTAGATCTTCCCCAAAATACACACTTATAGACAATTCTTGTTAATGGAGCTAAAATTTATTTAAAAAGAAAAGAGAGAGAGTGTTGGTGAAAAGATCAATATACAGACAGACTTGAATTCAATTCTTGAGGTTCAGACACAGCAGAGATGAGCTTGTAGTTGCCAAAAGTCCTTTTAGAAATAGTCCAGAGGTTATAGTCCAATGTCCATATTCAGGGTGACTCCAGTCAGTGACTGGGGATCTCAATCCTTATGGCTTAAGGTTTCCCCCTCTTGAAACCCAAAGCAGATCTGAGATGAAGCAGGATCGTGTCCCAAGGTTTTTATACATTTCCAGCAGCTTTTTGGCCTGAGAAAACAATAGGCTTAACTCTCCTTCTCCCAAACACCCTAGCAATTAGCACAGGGTCATTTATCCATTAAACAGTTCAGATACAGGTTACCACAACCTTCAAAGAGATATAGAGACAATAATACTATTTCACTCAAGTCTCATCACAAATGTTAATATTCCTTTTTTGATCTTTGAATCAAAGCAATAGACAAGACTTGTTTGCTGACATCACAAGCCCTGAGCAAACATCTCCCCTTGAGATCTCTAACAATGCAGACTTGCATTTCAAAGCTCTATTCATTTACGGATCTTCCTAACCAGTCTCTAAAGTTCGGCCATGGGTCAGGTCAGTCTGAGTTAATTAACTCTTTCAGGCCCTGTCACCTTTCAATGAGATATTGTATTACACTCACAACGTCACACCTGCTGCACTCCTTCCCCGGGCCGCATGGACCAGCGGGGGCAGCCGTGCCCCAAGCCTGCGCCAGCAGACGGGAGGGGGGCAGCCAGCAGGAAAGGCTAAAGCCATTGCTGAGTGATGTCTGGCTCCCTCGAGGGAAACGTCCCAAGGAAGCACTTGGCCCTGTTCTAGCAGGACAGACGCGGCTGCCTTTCCGTGAACACGACTCCCATCAAAGGGAATAGGAGACCTGTGGGTGAGGACGGAGTCCATGGGCCGACCGACCTCCCCGCCAGGGGCCCGGGCTACTGCCTGCAAACCAGACCCGGGAGCCCTGCAGACAGCTGGCTTACTGCCCTGCGATTCAGGCTCCGTTTCCACCGAGGGTCCCGGGCAGCCAGCCAGGATAAAGCTACAGAATCTGTTGTATAACTTAGCCCATTTATTCAGGTCTGAACTGGGCATCGCCCTAGAAGTTAGCCAACGCTGCTGCTCACGGGATGGAGAGACGCTGCCATGAAAAGGCAGGGCTGAGCCTACGACCCAAAACTACGCCAGCATCGGCCATCCAATTACATTGTGCCCACCGCTGTGGGCTTCCCGAGCTAGCAGGGCTGGGTGGGGTTGCAGGACTTCTGGCCCACTCCAAACTGATCTGGAAGCCCCAACCCGAGAAGGGAACCTGTACCTAGAACCCCCAAGCTAGCGCCAGGACTGGCTGGGGCCGGCTGGCTTGGAGCAGGTGGAGATCACAATGCCTGGGGGTACAATGATCTCGCTACAGTTCAAGTCACATTTAAAAAATGATGCAAAGAGAACGGGGGAGGGCTGGAGCCTGAGCCGCTGTCCCATCCAGGGAGCTGTTCACAGCAGCTGGGAATCCGGCCCGGGGATTGTAGATGCCCAAGTGAAGCGCAGCCGAACTCTGACCCCAAAGGGAGAGGCTTGAAAGCGC